ACTTACAGAAATTTTGTCCAACACTGAAAAAGGTCTACATTAAAGTGCTAAAGACGTATAGCTTTCTAAATATAATCTTTTTTTCCTTATCCGTCATGCTCTAAATGCTACAGAAAACATACTTTGGAGAAATATGAATATTGGTATAAATTGGCCCTTGGTTTGGACCAAGTTTTAAATGTTAACTGAGTTTGAAGATTTAGACTTTGACAGAAGAGCTGCTGAATAAAAGTCTGATTTTTTTTAATTCTCTCTTTTWGTGAGGGATCTCTCATTTACACACAACTAACAACCTGCGGTGTTAGAAACATGGTATACTAATTAGTCACTAGTGCATTTTTAATGTTGCAGGCCTGTTCAGAACATTTAACATTTAAACATGAACATTTTGTGACGCTAACACCAACTCGGTTTAAAGGGCATTAAAAAGGGTGCAGAAAGGTGGTGGGATTTTCCATTATGTTGTATTTATTTAATATAAGCAGGAAGTGACTCCAGAGGTTGAACCTCTCCCATCAAACAACACCCTCATTAACAGGTTATACTATAAACACCAAGAAACTAAATAAAATGTGCCAACAAGTCCAAACATACACTAGTTTTTGGTCTTTTRAGGTCTCGGTGGTCTAACAGAGGCCTTACCTTTCACGGCTCAGAGCGCGAGGACTTCCCTCTTCATCGGGGAACTCACCTGAATCACGCAGGTGTTTTTCAGGAAGAAACCGAAAAAGACAACATAAACGCAGCAGGTCGGGTCGTCTTTTTTGCTTGTTTAAAAACAACAGGTGGGTTTCTTCACACAGAGCTCCCCTCAGCAGGTATAAAATGTAGTTTGACAGGAACTTTGTTCAAATTCAGCCGTAATGAATCCTCCCTTCTCTCCAGCTGTTAGTATAGATGTCCACATGTCCGCAGGGTCCGAGCGCCGCCCAGGTTAACGCCCCAGCGTTGCCAAATAATACATGCAAATTCTCGCGTTTATACGATAATTTAAAGCATAATTTACGATTAATCTTTTTTTAAAACGTACAAATGTATAATAGTTTTGGCATTTCCTTGCATAAAAATTATTTATTTATTCATGTGAACACCTGTATATCAAAAAAAGTCAATTCCAATAGCATGCCTGCAAGCAACAGTCCAATAGTTCCTCTTTTCCAACTATCTGGCAACCCTGTAACTACCTCTGAGGACAAGACAAGGACACTGAAGTCAGGTTGTGTGCAGAACATAAACAAGAGAGAGAATGTTGCATAAATAAATAATTTAATGCAGGCTTGCTGTTTTAATACGCGATGGATCAAAATGTTTAAATGGATCACTCTGGAGCAGATGTTTCCAATGTTTTACAGGGCAACAACATTTTAAGGAAATAAACAAACAAGAATATCTTACAATATCAAACAAGAGTATCTTATCATAAAATGACTTTGGTAAAAGTTCAAGTTTCCTCTAAGAAAATTACCTGAGTAAACGTCCTAAAATATCTGGTATTTCAAAAGTAAATTTCTATATAAAATGTACTTAAGTATTAAAAGTGTAAGTATTGAGTAAAAGTGAGTGGTTAGAATTTCCAAAATAACGTTTATTAGGAGGTGACCTCCCAAACAATAAGGCCATA